GTGGGGAGGGCGCTGGTGGGCGAGGTGACAAATGGGAGAAGAGGCGAGCGCAGCGGCCGACCTGTGTCTGCAAAGATGGGGGGGAAGGGCGATGCACCTGAGGACCGGGAGCGCCCTGCAAGTTCCAGTGGCCTGGGAGGGGTCAGGAGAAGAGCAAGTGCAACTCTGTTACCGGCGACACTGTAGCCTCCTGTCCCCTCCCCAGGGGGTAGGGAGCAGAGAGAGAAGAGCTCACGTGTAAGGGAGCGGGCGCTGCCTGAAATTGCGCAGGCGGAAGCCACCCAGATGTTAGGGTGCCAGAAGCGCGCGATGCGAGTCCCCGGTGCAAAGGGGCAGCTCCCCGGGGGGCGGAGCGCGCGATGCGAGTCCTCAGTGCGAAGGGGCAGCTCCCCGGGGGGCGGAGAGCGGGTGGAAAACCCAGAGAGCCGGGCGAGGGAGGCGGGGGGAGGGTCTCAGAGAAGGCATTGGCGGCCTCGAAGGTTCTTGTCCCAGAGGTACCCACGTGTTGCTCGAGTGACCGAGCGGAAACGTCGAAGCTTTTGATTGGGGGCGGGGGACCGTCAGGACAGTGTGAGAAATCACGTCGGGCTGCCTTTCCTCCTGCCGCCACCTCTTACACGCTCAGATCCGTGTCCTTGGTTGAAGTTCTAGGACTGCGACTGACCCTTGCCCCCATTCCCAAAGACACTGCACTTGGCCCTCTCTGCGGGGCTGGGGCCGGGCTTCTTCTGCCAGCATTTGCCCCTGTGTTACCTGATTGACACACGGTCATTTCTTCCTTTTTGTTTTCTGTCAGGTTTCTCTGGCTCTGAGAATGTTCCTCCTCTCCTTTCCACCCCCACCCCAGTATTGGCTTACCTGCCTGCTTCCTCTTGCTCCTCCAGTCTTGTTGGACCAGACTCTTGAGCTCCCGGGCTACCAACCAGCGGCTTCCCCCATTGTTTCCATCTATCTGTTTTAGCGGCTGTCACAAGCAGGTGGCGTCACTGTGAACTCTAAGAACCAGCATGGCCAGGCTATTCTCCAGTGGTTACTTAGGAAGCAGCCAGTAACCATTCCCCTTCTGTAGGAGCAAATTGCAGGGGTGGGTCCAGCCAGGGTAACAGCAGCTAGGGAAAAGGGCCTCCCCCCTCTTCACCACTACCTCCCAGCCCAGCCCTCAGGGTCAAGCCTCCGGTGCCTGGCCTGCCCTTCACTTCAGATCCTGCCAAGCTAGGGCTCTTCCCCCAGAAGGTAAAACACGTGTCTGTCCGAACATCTGAAAACCTGACCGTTGGAGAATGTGTTTAGTAAACACAAGCTGTGTATGTGGCTTTTCCAAAAAGACCCCCAATCAGTATTGCTTCTGTCTCTGACACTCCAACATGACATTTTGCTCTGAATATTTTACCGTTAGGATAAATATAAAGAAATACTAAGCGAGGGCAGGGAAAAACCGAAAGCATGCACTGAGGACTCCCATGGCACTCTGAGTACCCAGACACAGATTCCAGAAATGGCTCTCCTTCCTTTTGTGGACTGCGAAGTAAAATTATTTCCAGCAGAAAAGGGACCTATCCCCTTTCACAAGTGACCTAGAGAAGCCAAGGGGGCCTGGAGGGAGCTATTTATTTATATCTATACATGGGGGTAACTAAACTCACCTAAAAATCCCAGTCTTTAGCGTTGAAGTCCGTTGGCTTGGGGTCCCGCCCGTGACGGCCAGTGTCTTGCCCTGAATCTGAGGTCATTAAGTGGAAACATCCCTACTACCGCAAAACCCCTGCCCAGCTGTGATACCAACCACTCGCCGACTTCCAAATGCACCCAAGTCACCTCTCTGTTATATTTTGGTTTAATTCACAGATTATTGGCTCATCCCTCAGTGTCAAGAGACTAGAACACAGACAAAGGCAGTTCTGCACAGTGAGCGGAACAGCCCGCACGATTTATAGTGAGCGGTTGCAGGAAGCAAACAATGGTCCCTTGGGCCGAAGGGTTTGCAAACCAGTGTTGTCTTTTACTGTTCACTGCATTCAGCGGGTTGGAGGGGGGGGCGGGGGGAATAAAAAAGCTGTTTTGTTTTCATTCTGGAAAGAAGTAAGAAGTCTAAAACCAGTTTCTTTTCTTGGGAGGAAGCGGTGTAGAAGTGAAAGTCCGTGTGATTTAACACGATGGGTGCTCCTTGGGGGCAACAGATTTGACTTTCCATTTGAGCTTCCTCTGCACTGGTGGCCTGTGCAGGGCCTCGTGCTTCTGAACAGCTTCTTTACCAAGGTTATTTTCATCTGCCAAGCCGAACTCCAGGAGCTGGAGGAGATGGACAGCTTGTGTTTGTGGCCATTCAACCAGAAAAGAATACCAGCTGAAAACAGACAATGAAACAAGGGAATCGGGGGTGGGGGTGGGGAGAGGAGGTACGGAGAGACCAGCCACACATAATTGGCTCCCCAAAGGCAAATCTGGATGCAGAATGGTGTCATAAAGCAGTTGTCACATAAACACCCCACAGTGTGATTATTGGAAAGATCTGTTCAGAAAGGAAAACGATGGTGTGCCTTTCCCTGTCCCCTGGAGGGAACCCGCCTCTGGCTTTTCATTTCTCCCCACTTGTGAAATCATATCCTTATCGTTTCTTGAGACAGCTTTCTCCCCCTGAAAATGAAAACCTCACCATTGTGTACACGGAAGCCTTCGAGTTCCCACTAAGCGGAATCACTCGACACGTTTATCTTCGGTGAATTCATATGGAAACACCCGCACGCCCGCTTCCCTCTCTGGATCTCCTCTCCGAGGCCACCAGGTTCCTCTCTGGGTTAATGGCGTGAATGGCCAGGAGTTGTTGTTGTTGCTGTTTTCTTTGGTCACAGTACACTCATCACTTCCGTTGGAAATGTTCCTTAAAAATCATAGATGTTTTCCTCAGAGTTTCGCAGGCTCTCTAGAAAAGATCATTTGACACATGGCCTGACGCTGGGTTGCCCTCCCTCATTGGAAACGCTGGACACCATCAGGAAAAGAAGCCACGGCAATTTATTTTATTGTGCATTGTTTATGTGACACTGAATATTTTCACATGTTCGTTACACTAATCAAAAAGGAAATTGGCTTTTTTTTTAACAGTGAAAGCAGATGAGGGGCAACGTGTCTGTGTTGTGTTCCGCGAGATCAAAACACGCTCTCTGCTAGAGCAAGGAGGGGGGAGTCTTAGACAAAGGAATATTTTTCACACTGTCCAGCATTCTAAAATATAATAGAGTGATTAACAGTCATGTTCATTTCCTGAGTGGATTTGAAGTCCAAGTCCGCAGTGTTACGTCGTAATGTAGGGGAGTGCTAAATTTTTTTCGATTTAAGCACCTGTTTACTGAGCAACTGTTCTGGGCTCTGGCCGAAGCTAGAGTTTGCATTCAGTATAAAAGTGTAAGATATTGATTGTAGGTGGGTTCCAGGGGGTGCACAGTCTGGAAGAGAAGTAGGAAGAACCCAGTCGTGTTGAGCAGTGTGCCGTCCACACGTCTTGGTTTGCCCTGTCCGCATCTTGTGACGCAGCAGCATAATTATTAATAGCACCCTCTTTTGCTCAGAAGTGTTCCAGTTTGGACAATAAGTTACACGGTCATCCTAGAAATAAGGGCTATGAGGTCAGGGGAGGAGAAGAAGGCTGTGATGGGAGCAGTGGGTGGAGATTTCGTTCCCGAGCCTGGTGTAGGCATACAGACCAATGGGATGGAAAAGGAAAGACTGTGAGCTCCCTGAGGACCCAGAGGCTCTGTTTCCCTTGTTCCTGTGCCCTCGGGGCTTCGCATGCGTGGGGAGCAAATGGCAGGCATCAAATACTAACCAACTGCCCGTGACCCAGATGGAAGATCCACACTGAAGGTAGGAAGAAAGCCCGGGACGGTGTGGAGGCATGCCTGGCAGAGGTCAGATGGGAATAATTATGAAACAGGGCTATTAATAAGGCCGAGAAATGCTGAAACAAAGCCGGCGCTGAGTGTCCCAAAAAGCAGCCTGCGCGCAGAAAGCCAGTGTGGTGTCACTCCTTGTCGTTTCTGTCGTTTGTCTTTTGAATTGAATGCCATTGGTCTTCACCTCTGGCCTGGAGGTGATCTCTTCCTTCTCAAGCAAATTGTCCAGGAAGGAACTGAAGGAACAATGACCCCATTCTCCTCGAGCTTCTTTCCTTCTGTCCTTGTCCTCTAGGAGGAGTTTCAGAAGGGAGGCAAGGGCAGGAGCCTGCTGCGGGGTGGGGAGGGCACCTTATAAACACAACAACAGCACAGACGAACACCAGGGACACATGCGTTTTCCCTTCTCCGAACTGGAGGGATAAATTCAAAGTGACAGTTTCGTGGAGCTAGTGCAACTCCTAAGAGGTTATTCCCAGTGGAGCTTGTGAGTTCCCCACTTTTTTCTACATACGAAGGCCTGGAGTGACGTGGCCTTGGCCTTAACTGCGCCGGTTACCTTCTGATTAACGTGACACACAGTAGGTGCCCTGCTGTATGCGGAGGTTCAAGGTTAACTCCTGTACACAAAGGCTCCAAGCCAACTGCCAGCTGCTAACCCTTGAGCAGCAATGCCTTACCTTTAGTTTAGAAAGTTACTGGTAGCATTTGAAGCCACTTTGGGATGATTCCTACCTTCCCAAGTGCTAAGCCGATTTCGTGTTGTCTTGGTGATACTTCATCCTCAGAAATAAGCAGAGCTCAGAAAAGAGAGAGGGCGATGCACACAAGGTTCTAGCACTGAGACCACGCGTCTGGGTTCAGTTGCAGACAACAGGATCCACTCGGCAAAAAGGATATAAAATAACATGGCTTACGGAGCTGCTGGGTCACACGCCAAGCCACCTGGTAACGTTGGGTCACTAATGGAGCCCCTGCCTGATCCATCATCAAGAAGCTGCCCGCCCATTTGAGAAGCCACCAGCTCCCGAATGAGGCTGCCACAGCCATGGTCCAGAAAACAGCCAGTTGGGAAGGCAGCACGGCAAAGCCAGACGGTCCAGGAGGGTGGTCACCAGTAGTTACCATAGAGGAGAAGAAGTACAGCACAGTCGGCAAAATAAGCTCCCCGCCCCAAAGATATCCACATCCTGCTCCCCAGAACCTGTGAATGTGTTGCTTCACGTGGCAAAAGGCACTTTGCAGCTGTAATTGAGTCCAGCACCTTGAGATTACCCTGGATTCTCCAGGTGGGCCCAGTCCCGTTACATGGGTCTCTAAAAGAGGAGCTGTGGTCACATGACTATGGAGGGAGGATGAGAGAGATTCAACATGGCGATAAGAGAGATGAAGCCGGGGGCCACGGAGAAGGAGTGTAGGTGGTCTCTAGAAGCCAGAAGACGCAAAGAAATGGATAATCCCCTGGCGCCTCCCGAAGGGCACACCGTGTGCTGAAACCTTGATCTTAGCCAGCAGGACCCATGTCAGACTTCTGACCTCTGAAACTATAAAAGAATAAATGTGTGTCATCTTAAGCCACTAAATGTGTACTGATTTGTTACATCAGCCACAGGAAACATACCTGCAGCGTCCCCATCACTACTGCCTTCAAATCTCGTGCAAGTGCACCCGGGGGAAGCCCCCTTGCATCACGTGTGGGATCCGAGTTGCAGGGGGTTCTGGGAAATGCGCCTTTGTGCTTCCCAGCTTCAGTCGGGAGGCATCTGACTCAAAGGCTGGAATGATGTCGAGTGCCAGTCATGTATATTGAGTGCAGCTGCTGTGGGAAGTCACGGGGAGCCCGGGGGGGTGGGGGGGTGGGGGCACAGCACTCCTTACTGTCCTGCTCTGAGGGACTGTGGCATGAGGCAGAACAGAAGTGGATGCCTGAGATTTTTAGGAAGCTTGACAAATGTTATTAAGCCATTAAAGCATGAGGGGGAGGGGAGGAAAAGGCACCAGAATAGTTGCCCGTTTGCCATACTAGAAGTTACTATCTGATTTGTCATGTATCGTTGGCAGGGTGGCGTTAAGGAGAGATTGTGCGTAAGTGTCTCAGTGTTAGGGGTAAATATCGATGTTCTGTAGCTTAACTCTTAACTGTATACGGTCAGTCTGTAGGGCACATTATACGTTCCAAAGGGTCTTCAACAGTATCTCCACCCAACACGCCCTTCCTACGTTGGTCCAAACAGTCAGATGCAGAAAATGAACACCGTCTCGTGTTATTCCTGTCACATTTCTTCAATCGAAGGAGATAACACGAGAGTTGTCGGTAGAAGCATATCTAAATCTAAAGCCGCCTTCTCCTGTAGGAGATCAGCCTAAGAAACTCATTCTTAAAATGTATACACATTTTAGCCAAACGTTTTGGTTTGTTTGCACGGGACTGGTAGCCCTGAGGGTTTTCAAACTGCCGAAGCCAGCAGGTAAATGAGCAAGAATCCAAATAAGTTCTTTTTAAAATTTTTTTCTGATGTTTGTTTATGTTTGAGACAGAGGGAGACAGAGCGCGAGTGGGGGAGGGGCAGGGAGAGAGGGAGGCACAGAATCCGAAGCAGGTGCCAGGTTCCGAGCCATCAGCACAGAGCCCGACGCGGGGCTCGAACCCACGAACCGTGAGATCATGACCTGAGCCGAAGTCAGACGCTCAGTCGACTGAGCCACTTAGGCGCCCCCAAATAAGTTCTTTTTAAAGCAGAGCTGCCTCGATGTGGCCAGTAGAGGTGCTGGGGGGAGCGTCCTCAAATTGGGGAACGACCTCTGAGGAGGTGGACAAGACCTGGAACAGTAGCCGGCGGGCCCCGGGGACCTGGTCCCCAAGGTACGGTCTGCCACGCTGGAGGCCCTGCTCCCCACAGGCTGCCTTCTCTTTTTCTCTTTTTCTTGCTTCCTACCACTTCTTTTCTGCACACACCTCCTTCCCTGATACCTAAAGTTTACCGTTCCTGAAGTCCAAGTTCAAGACCCCCTTGATGCTAGAATATGGTGATATGTTCATCTGAGTGGTACCGTCATATGTTCTGTGGGTGTTTGCAATTTTCAGCAGCTTTCATCATCGTGTCCCACTTAAACCCCAGCCCCCTGTGATGTAGCGGGACTCCCAGTAATGCTCCTGGCCCCCCACACTGGGACACAAAACTTCAGGATGAAACAGCTTGTCCAAGATGACAGTGTGCGTGTGCAGAAGGCGCTGGGTCAGCACTGAGTGTTCCCACGCCCTCATGGGGGTCTGTCCGCCCCAGGATGTCCGCTCAACTAGCCTCTGTAGCAAAATCGGTGTTAAGCTGGAGAGAGGGAGAGGTGATTTGTTCTGCCTGTCCGC